GCACACGAAGACAAACAAACAAACAAAAAGCTGTATATACGAATAGAGAAGTAGTAACAACTATAAATGAGAAATATATAGGCAGTCAGATGAAGCAAAGAGAAAGAGGAAAAATACGACAACTAACGAACAAAAGACAAAAATGAATGATAAAAAAAGCAAAGAAAATTTATTCGACGATAAAAATAGGAGATGGGAAAAATACGAGGGAAGGAGAGGTCACACGATGAAGACGAGAGAGGTCAGAGGTCAGACAAGGCTTCGCAAACGAGCATTTACTCCCTCAACCCCCCCCCCCTCCAGCTGACCTCCCGCTGATATGACCAAACACCTTGACAAAATCGCCCATACTTGACGCATTTCTTTAAGGTCGAAATTGATAGGGGAATCTATTATATTTTCTCCTTATCTCTGTTATTTCATCCTTCCAAATGTGCATTTATTTGTTTATACGTTGAGTGTATATTTGCAGCACGTACACATACATATACATATATACGTACATGCCCATATGTATGTATACATATATACGTACATGACCATATGTACACATGCATATACATATATACGTACATGACCATATGTACACATGCATATACATATATACGTACATGACCATATGTAAACATGCATATACATATATACGTACATGACCATATGTAAACATGCATATACATATATACGTACATGACCATATGTAAACATGCATATACATATATACATGCCCATACATGCATATACATATATACGTACATGACCATATGTACACATGCATGACATATGTACACATGCATATTATACATATCGTACATGCTCTGCATATGTACAACACATGCATATACTTATATACAAGTTCGGATATACATACGCACGCAAGCACAGACATACACAAGACATGAAATACTGATATGACAATAATATAACATCACAGAACCTTACGTATACCATATAACCATACCAGCGTATACTACAACAGCTTTTTACTTATACTTCAACACTTACACGATCTTCACAAGGTAGTCACACGCCTTATAAGTAAGAACAGTCATAAAAAAAAAATGAAGTCTTATTTTTGCACAGTAATTACACCTGAAGCTAGTGGTAATGTGGGTGAGTTTTTTTTTGTCTTTTTATTTTCTTAAACGGGACTTAAATAGACAGAATAGACTACGGAAGGTCGTGCTGTCTTAGAGCTAAATGTCTTTCGTCGTCGTAGCCACATAAGCCTACTCGGGATATGCTATGTACCGTCTATGAAAAGTTCAGGAAAAAAAAAAAATATTCTCTAGAACTGGTTACGGCTCCCCCCCCCCCTCTACCTACCTTACCCTCACCCCCCCTTCTCCCCTCCTCCGCTGTCGCCTTCCCGTTACCCATTTCTAATCATATATCTCCTTGAACTCTTTTCTTCTTCTTCTTCTTCTTCTTCTCTTCTTCTTCTTCTTCTTCTTCCTCTTCTTCCTCTTCTTTTTTTTTTCTTCTCTTTCTCCTTTTCCTCCACCCGCTCATTCTCCTACTCTTCTTGCCCTCCATCTCCTCCTATTCTTCTCCCCCTCCTCCTCTTCCTCCTTTTCTTCTTTCCCCCTCCTCCTCCTCCTCCTATTCTTCTCTCTCCCCTCCTCCTCCTCCTATTCTTCTCTCCCCCTCCTCCTCCTCCTCCTATTCTTCTTTCCCCCCTCCTCCTACTCTTCTTTTTCTCTTCCAACTCCTTCTCCTCCTCCTCGTCCTTCTCCTCCCCTCCTCCTTCCTCTCTACCCCCTCTTCCATTGCAGTGAAGGAGACCTACTCTTTTCTCAGGCCTCATTTATGTTCCTCCTCCTTCTCTTCCCCCTTCCCCTCCCTCCTTACTTCCTCCCTCACTCCCGCCTCCTCCTTCAACTCCTCCTCTTCTTCTTCCTTTTTTTCCTCCTCTCTCTTCCCCCTTCTCTCCTCCTTCTCTTCTTCTTCTTCCTCCTCCTCCCTCCACTTCTCCTCCTCCTACTCCTCCTCTTCTTCTCCTTCTTCCTCCTTCTCCTCCTCTTCTTCTCTTCCTCCTTCTCCTCCTCCTCTTCTTCTTCTTCCTCCTCCTTCACTATTACTCTTCCTTCTTTCCTCCTATCCTTTGTGCCTCTTTTCTCCTCTTCCTCTTCTCTATACCTTTCTTCCGCTATCCTCTGTCCTCTCCTTTCCCCATTCTCCCCTTCCTTCCTCCCTTCCTATAACCTGCTCCAACCCTACCCCCCCTCCCCTCATCCCCCTATAACCCCTTTTTTACCCCCCCCCCCCACCCCCGGCTGACACCTGTTGCGAGGTGAGCGAGTCGAGAAGTGTACCTGCTACTATACACCCCCCCCCCTCCCTTCTCCTCCTCCCCCTCTTTTCTCCCTCCTTTTATTTCTCTCTTTCCTTTTTTCCCCTTTTTCTTCTCTTCTTCCCCTTCCCTTCCTTTTTTTTCTCTCCTTCCCTTTCTTCTCTTCCATCCCTCTTCTCTCCTTTCCTACTCTCCTTCTCTCCTTACCATTCCCTCTTACTTTCTTTATCCCCTTCTCCTT